TTTTGGAAACCTCATCCCTACCTCTATTTTTGTGTCTTACTACTTCAAAGCGCTTCTCCATTTTTTTAACCTTAAGGGAAAAGAAATGTAATCAGTAAATATTACTTCACTCAGTTGTTTTGAAAATATTCTTCTTTAAAAGGAAAGAAAAAAGAAAGCCCAAAAGCGCCACCCTTTAAAAGAAGAATTTTGGAGGAGGGAAAAACCGGGGGAGAATTAATATATAAAATCCTTATAAAATCATTTTTTTTAAGGCTTCAATCGAACAAAAAACCAGAATACTGTGTGAAGCTTTAAGGTCTTATTTTCTATGACATCAAGTCTATGAAACCTTTCAAATGAGAACTTATTTCACTAAGCAATGGGATGAAAAGTTGTCTCATAACATGATGATTCCTTCTAAGACTGACTTTCACCTTCAGTAAACAACAGACAATTGGTAACAGTTTTCTCGTTCAAGTCAAGTCCTACTCATTATCCAATGATTTCTCCTCACTTCTATTTGGTGGGAGCCAATCAGGTCAGGTCAGGATGAGTGTGGTGAGTTACTGTCCTGACAGATCTGGAGGGTGAGCGAGGAGCAAGTCCAAGCGGAGGTTTAAATTCAAGCCGGCTGTGCTCTCAGAGAGGAGAAAAGACTGGGATTCACTTTTAAAGTCACCCAAACAAACAGTATTTCCATCTGGTGTCATTTACAGGTCTTCCCATTTTATTTTTAAAAAGTCATGTCCCTAAATGACATGTGGATGTGCCATATGTGGTCATTTAACTCCAGGTAGCATTCATTTTAAGTACCTGCTGAAATAAGATTATTTTAATATTAGATTCATTGGTAGGAACATCTTTTACGTATTCATATTAACTCAAAATAAGCCATTGCTCGTACATTTCCAGAGAGTCCCTATTTGAGGAACCAGAAAGCAGAAACAGTGTACTAATAAATCATCTTAAATGCACCAAGATTTTCATAGCTATACTATAATATAAAGCAGAGATAAGACAATCTGTTCTTCAGAGAGACTCCTTGCAGGGCCCTCCCCGTCCTCCCGCCTGGAATCATTCCAAGCCCCATCCCTTGTTCTTAGTTGCTGGTCAGCTGCTCCCTCTGTTCAACCAATAGGGAATCCTAACTGCCCCCAGGCAGGTTTTCCGGGGCCCTACTTCCTACTTTGTGGCCAAGGGGGAAACACGGGGCTCCAAAACCAAATGCAGCAAGTCTGCTACTACTCACTTCCGGCTTTCTACGTGCCTGGCAGTGGACTGCAGGGAAGGGAACTGTGTGTCGCTGAAGATCTCTGGTGGCCCTTGTGGTGTCTTCCTCGTTGTGGTTAACCTGGCTCCAGGAGGTCTGTACACGCCACTAGTCATCGCTGGTTCTGGGGTTTCTGGAACTAAAAATTTTAGAACAGGTTAGGGAAATAACTGGATATTGGGAATTTGAATGGTTTTATTCATTCCTTCATTCTAGAAAAAAAACAGAAACCAAAAACCCCCAACCATATCACCACACAACAAAAGCTTGAACAACAAAAAAAATTCCCCTCAAAAAACTAACCAATCCCCAAAAACCAACAAGAAAAGTCTCCAGGTCAGAGAATAGACGGCTATCTGAAGAAAGCGCTCAAAGTGAAAATACTCCTCTTTTTCTCTAGGGTAGTGTTGTCTCGGTAGGGATGCTGGTGATCTAGGGGGTTAGGAACTGGGGCAAACCAAAGGCAGGGGCTCTGAATCGACCAGGCACTCCATGAGACGGACAAGCTCCTCTTGTGCAATCTGCTGCCTCTAAAAACCTGCTGGAGGGTCAGCTATGAGTCCGTTTTGACTCGTCGGCCATGAGTGCTTTAACTCTGCTTCTGTGTCCAGGTTAAATTACATGTGCAATACTATAAGGCAAGTTACTGGGCAGTGACCAAAGAATAGGCATCTCCTAGACAGCTCTCATTGGGGACTGTGCAACACGATGACCAGCTGCCTTAGGTTTATACAACGTAATTGTAAATGAAGCTATTATTCACTTGGTTGGTGGACTAAGAAAAATGCTGTATGTAAGAATTCCCCATAGCTCTTATGTCAGGGACTCTGCAACGTGCTAAAGAATAATGATGTCAGGGAGCTCTGGTGGCCTAGTGGCAAGAAGCTGCACTGCCATCCCAGTGGTACGCAGTTCGAATCCACCAAATGCTCTGCTGGAGAAGGAGGGGTAATCTCCTCCTGTACTGGTCAGATTGATATGACAGTACACACACAAAATAATAAAAGAAAATTTAAAAAAAGAAAAAATAATGTCAGTCTCGATTATGGTGCACCTGACCCGGGCCATGGTCTTTGCAATTATTTGTTATGCATCAGAGAGGTGGACAATGACTAATGATGACAGAAGAACCAAACTGATGCCTTTGCATTGTGGTGCTGACGACTACAGAACATACCATGGACTGCAAAGAGATAGAGCCATCTTCAATAGGGTGTAACCAGGCTGCTCCTTGGAGGTAAGGATTTTTAAGCTCACAATCTTGTAGAAAGGCATGCTCAGATAGGGCAGGGTTCAGAGCTACTGGCATAGGTTTGTTGGCGACTTAATGGCACTTAACAAAAACAACAACAATCAGTACTTATTAGCTAAAACCTAATGGAGCTGTTTATCGTTTTATGTCATGGAGCTGATCTAACCCACAGCAATCCTACAGGAGAGTAGGAACAGCCATATGGGCTTTCGCTCACAGGACATGGTGTGGTTACGCGCTGAAGCCAATTCAATGGTAGTGAATATGTGAGGGAGCCAATTCAATGGTAGTGAATATGTGAGGGAGCAAACCTCAGGTCTTTTTCTTCCTCTCAGAACTATCGGCAGGTTTGAACTATCACTACTGGACAGAGGACTTACTACTGCCTGCCTGTGGCAATGTTTCCTGACAATACACAGGTTTTAATTGTGGCTTTGAATTATAGCATTTATTCATTTTTTACCAAATAGTTATCAAGCATGTCAAGTGTCTGAGACCGCTTTTTTTAGCCACATATTCCAACAGCTGTCACTAGCTACAAATGAGTGTTTCAATGTTAAAAACTCCATTCCTAAGTCATAGGTCCTTCACTCTAAGCACTCAGAAGCCACACACCAGTGTAAGCTCTCCTCACCTAAACTTCGTGCACTTTCCCAGGAAGGACAAATCCCTACAGAAGGACATCATCCTCAAGGTGGCCTGACAGTGATGGCGACATGGGCTTAAGTGTACTGAAGACAGAACAGGGTTGGGCTAAGTTCCAACCTGCTGTACAGGGCCACGAGTCAAGCTAAAGGCTTCCCCTCTGTGTTTCTTTATTATTTTACTCTTAAACACAACATCCCAGACAGAAGGAATCAGAGTTCGTAAAGTGAGCATATGATGGACAGAACAGTAATGGAAAGAGGTGTGACTTTAATTAAGGTGAGTGGGAAGGGTCCAGCTGATGAGTAGATAAAACCAGCTGCCACATTAAGGCCCCAAAGCCCACCCCCACGCAGCCATTTTATACTGAGACACAGCTATGCACATCTGTTATGCGAGCTTCTGTACGACAACAAGCAGAAGGGCCGTGCTGTACCAGAACCTGCAATGCCTTTTGGAGAAAAAGTTTGCATAATCCTGATGTAGTGCAAAGTGAATTCCGGGCCAAAAGCTTACACATAAAAGGCCAGCAGTAGCTGGTTTATCCAAAGAGCCCTGGAGCAAAGATCAGATTAGCTACAGAAGATCAAGTCACAAAGTCAGAATGGGGGAAGGGCCCACAAAGCCGCCTGCAGAAGGCCTGGAAATGGCAAGTCACTGACAACTTCAGCTTCTACTCTAAGCTCCAGCAAGGGATGCCATCCTAGTTCTGATTTAGAAGAAAACAGAAAAGCGAGGAACAGAAAAGAGGTAATTTTTTTTTTAAAAGAGGCTATTTATTTCAGTAACAAGTGCTAGCAATGAAGCTGGTAAGAACTAATTTAAGTCTGAAGCAAAAGGTGGTTCCCAAAAGAGCAAAAGAAAGGTGACCCAAGAGTTGTAACCTCAGAGAGAGGTCAGATACCAGAGCCAGGAGAAAGGCTGTGGGGCGGTACATTCTGTGTAATGCGGTGAAGATTAGAACTTCTGTATTGTAAATGGTGAACTTGAGGTGCTAAATATGTGGCAAAGACATACAGCTCTGGAGCTTGACCCACGTGGGCATGTTGCCAGGAGGGACCAGTCCTTGGAGGGCATTATGCCTGGGAAGGTGGAGGGACGGCTCAAGAGAGGATGACCTTCAATGAGATGGATGGACTCAGAGACTGGTGTCACAGGGTAAGTGTGTCAGAGTCAGTAAGACTGGCTCAGGACAGAGCAGGGTTCAGAGCTGTTGTACACAGGGTCGCCGTGAGCTGCAAATGGTTGGACTGCAAGCATGTAACAAGAAGCTGAGGACAATTTGAAAGCTGCAGAGCTGAAACAGTGACGGGACTGCAGGAGGGTCAACTGTGTCAAACATCATTTATGCATCAGGTTTGACTAGGAACTTTGCAGGAGAAAGTGGGCAACTCCTCTCTTGACTAAGAATATCCCACGTCAGGTCAGCTGCGTGAGGTGGAAAAAAATGTAACAAACAGAAAAGGGCTAAAATGGATGCAAGAAAATGTGACCATGTAGCTCACCTGATAGAGCACAATTTGCTATTCTGAACAAAAATAGAATTTTGCTATTCTGAATAAAAGCAGCGAGTATTCAAACTCTTTTTCACTCGTGTACGCCTATGGAGCTCTGTATTGTTCTAACACAGTATTTTAAGGTTTTTCTCTATTGTTGCACATTTTCTTCCCCTATGGAGCTTTTTATCAGACATCATTTTCGGCCTCTCCCCCTGAAATTTAATACCATAGATACACTGTACGTCTGTTCATGTATTTTCTTCCTTGGAGAGCCCAAATCCCCTGCAGTATCAAAGATGCCCCCCCATCCAATTTCCATCTCCTTTCAGCCTTGTTGAGAATTTGTGCTTTAATATGTGAGAACAAAGTGGGAAATGTGAGGGAGGTGAGCCAGACCTGAAGGGGTGGCACCTCTTCTGTTTGCCAATTGCCTACTGTGGTATAATAAAAGCTCTAAGTACTGCCTCTTTCATTAAAAGATGCTTTTCGATAAGCCAGACTTTTGGCTTCTTACTATTAAAAATCTTACCACATGTACCTTAGATTCTGTCTTCTTACTTTGTCATTTGTTAAGCAGGATGAATATTTACAAACCTCGCTTGTCTCAGACACAGAGGGCAGCGCCATGCCACCCTGCTCCCCCGTCCCCAGCAGGCACGTAGCTGAAAGGCCAACCGTGGTATTACCAATGGCTGGGGCCGGTGTCGCCTGCACTGGAGCCGTCTTGTTCCAGGGACCCGAAGACTTTTCTATGCCTCCGCCGCCTCCTCCACCTTCTTCCCAATTATCCCCTGGATCTTCCCTTTTTTCATTATCATCTTCTTCCTTTTCACTGTTGGAAAAGCAAACATCTGAACTCAGTGAAAGAGCTCACACTCATTCAAATGCCCACCTTGCTTTTAAGAGCCCTTTTAGATTTTACTTCTTACACTGGATGTCTTATGAAAAAAATTTAATTGCCTAGAAAATGTTTAGAAAAACCACTCTACCAGTGATGTCTACTTCCCTTTTTGGCAAATGCTTTCAGGAGTAAACTTCCTCATTCATGAGAGAAATGGCCAGCACACTGCCATGCTTCCTGGTGACAATGTGATTATCTACACCAGCCTGGAGTTGAAGCAGGACCCCAGTAAGTGGCTCAAACGACTGACTGAAGGAGGAAAGGCTCGAAGAGATTTACCATGAAAGGTAGAGGAGAGAGGGCAATGTGAAGGCTTAAAAGCAAAATGACTAATAATAATCATAGAATATTCTGTGATCCGAGAGAATAGATAGGCTGTGTTAGAACTTGAAGAAACGCCCAGCAGAGTGGAATGAATTCACGTTCCAGCAGAGGAAACATGTGCAGTGACTGTGCTCAGCTCTGAGCTTTATCTTTTCCACCTGACAGAGGGAGCACGAGGGACTAGCCAGCACTGAGGAGACAGGACTCTTCCTCACAAAGAATGAATGACATTTTTAACTTTGGCTTAATAGTGACCATAAAAACAATAGTATCTGGGCTAACATACTCTCTAACCATGTCTCCTAAGAATGGTTTTTTCCTAGTTTTTAGATTTACTCCTGATTAAGAAAGCTCTGGTGGCCTAGTGGTAAGAAGCTGCACTGCAATCCTGAAAGCACATGGATCAAATCCAACGTGGGAGGATGGGCAGTCATCTCCCTCTGCAATTTTCTGCCTCTGAAAACCTGCTGGAGGGTCAGCTATGAGTTGGTTCCAACTTGATAGCACAAAACAACTACTTCTGAATAGACTTGAGTCCACTACAACCAGGAGAAGATAAAGTAGATGAATGGGATCTTCTAAGACTCAAATCCCTATGCACATCCAAAAACTTCTCCAACAGGGTAAAAAGGGAAGCCACCAACTGGGAAAAAGTATTTGGTAATAACATATCAGATAAGGGACTTATATCCAGAATTTATGAAATACTTGAGCACCACAACAAGAGAAAGGTAAATAATCCAACAGAAAAATGGACACAGGATATGAACAGGCACTTCACCGAAGACGACATTCAGATGGCTAACAAGCACATAAAGAAATGTTCAAAATCCCTAGCTCTAAGAGAGATGCAAATTAAAACAACTATGAGTTATCATCTCACTCCAGTCAAAATAGCAAAATTTAACAGAACAGAAAGCAACAAATGCTGGCGAGGTTATGGAGAAACCGAATAGACTTGAGTCAATTTATAGAATTTCTCTAAGAATGCCTTTACCTGTCTCTTTTCTGGATTATTTACTACTATTTTATTTATGAATAGTTATGACTACCAGTGGCTTAATAGCAGGGTAGTCAATACAGTAACTGCCACCATCAAGACTTCCTGTCTGGCGTTCTCTGATCCTGTGCCAGCACGCCTGGCATGCATCGCCAGCTTTCACCCTAAATCACTTCCTGCGACAGTGGTGGGTTTTCCTGGGTCTGCTCTCTCCTCATAATCCTCCTGTCCCCAAATGCAGATAGAATCTCCTAACGTGATGTCCTCTTGTTATGCGTTCCCCAACCATGTCCACCAGCCACATCCAGACGACTTTAGCCTCACTTGGCTAAAGGATTAACTGGGTAAGAGGGTGCCCTCCCTACTGCTATCAGAACAACGCATGTCTGACTATAATGCACCAATTTCTTAAATGGCCAATGGTCTCCTTTAAAGACAATTTCCGAATTTTACTTAAGACTAGTTTGTCTGGAGAGGAAAAACTAGAATGTCAAGCCACTGCTCAGTTTTCATTAACACGTAACAGAATTTTATTCAAACATTAAAATATGTTAGATGTACAGTGACAGAATATTTCTTACCTAAATCAGTAAAAGCTACTAAAACACATCTACATACCTGAAAAAATACACAAACAGGAAGAATGACAGATTTTTTAAAAAAAAAAACATTAACAGTAATATCTCTAGTGCCAGAATATGTGATTTTTATTTTCTTTATACAGAATGCAAGGTACAGGGACCATATTCAAAAGCCAGACTTCAAATCTAGGCCCTGCCATTTACTACCAAGGAGACTTTGAAAAGAACAATTAGTGTCCAGATGCCTCAGTGTCCTGTAAAATGTGGATGGGAGCCCCAGCATCAAAAAGTAACTGTGTTAATAGGAGCAAAACACCTGGAACAACGCCTGACAAATTACAAGCTCTTTAGTTTCAAAGGGATCCCAAACAGTATGACCCTTTTTTTAAGAGGTAGTTTATATGGAGAATTAATGAGAAGGTTAACAATATAAAAGAGCCCTGTGTTGTGGTCAAGAAGAGAGCAGACACTCGGGAAATTTTAGTCGGCATTCTGAACCAATGAGCCAAGGCAGAGAAGATGTGGCAAGCCTGTGTTAGTAAAAATCGGCAGCCCTGGAAACCCCTCAGGAGAGTTCCACTCTGTCCCAGGGTCCACACGTCAGGAGGGGACTTGAGGGTAATGGGCTTTCTGGAATTTGGGAATAGCTCTTGTGTCAAGAGTCAAGGAGACTCTGACTTTATGAACACATCTCCACCCTGCCATTCTAATTAGCAGGGGTGTTACTTATCAAAGTATCTGAACAACAGAATCATCCCAAAGGCTTTCTTAATACTGAAGTGTTAGCCACCTTTGCAATCTGTCAGTGCAATCCCATGGTAACGTAATGTGCTTGGTTCACGGTGTTACTCACCCAGCTACCCTTCATTAGGAATAGATGCCTGGCTGTCCAAGCTGAGCTTGTAGAATCGGGGATATTCCAGATAAAGAATGATCTCTGTGCCCTAACACACCCAAGAGGTGCAGCTCTTAGTCATTTACATTTTGAAGGTTCTCAGCACTGCACCACAGTCATTCAAATATTAGATCCTAACAGAGCTTTTCTTTCAAATTATAGTAGCATTTAAACTCCAAGAAGCAACCTTCCAATGCAGACAAACTCATACCAATTACCCCTGAACAGAAGCAACTGCGGGTAATTCTTGAACTTCTTTACACTTTTATGTTTTTCTGAAGTTCTAAACACATTCACGTTATTTTCTAATTCAAGAGTGACTTGCTTAGAAGCATCACATATCTCTAATTGAAGGAATAACATACACAACTTGGAATTTTAGGTTAAAATTCAGGAGCATTAGGTAAACCATAGAAATCATCTTGTCAAGACCTTTCATCCAAAAGATGGAATGAAGGCCCGGAAAGGACAACCTTCCTCAGGTCAGTCCCACTCCAGGGGGCCTCTGTTCATTCTCCTCACCCCAAGGATATGACCACAATTTCCACACTGCACATTCTCCTCCCCAACACTAGAGGGGAACAAAACAAGGCCCAGACTCCACTGAGTTGCTGCTGGAAATCCATTCGTTTGACCCTACTATGCCAATCACGCTACAAAAGCGGGAAGGGAGCTCAGTTGGCCTAGTGGAAAGAAGCTGCACTGCAATCCCAGAGGCGCACAGTTCGAATCCATCAGATGCTCTGCTGGAGAAGGAGGGGCAATCTCCTCCTGTACCAGTCAGATCTGATTTGATGGCACAAAGAAGTAACTGATCTAAAAAAAAAAGTAAAGTGGGGAAAAGAAAAACCGTCTGATGAGCTGCGCTTGGCTTGCAAGCTTAAAATGCCATTGTACCTCATTCAAAAAGTCCTCCCTGGCCCCTCCTAGCTTGACCACTAAGCAGCACTATGTCCCATGGCCCCCCAGGCATCCATCCGAAATGATTCTGGTGTCCACCAGAGAATGAACAATCCCAGCCATCTAGCAGAATGCTGCCCCACAACAGTCACACATTTTGTTACAATGAATCCTGATAGGATTTAGAAGTAACTTCTAAAATGCAACTTGTTTGTTGCTGCTAAATGCCAGCTCATAGCTGCCCTGTGAACACCGGACTGAACCCGGTCCTATTCTGCCCCATTCTCATCATCTGGGAGACACTCGAGCCCACAGCTACAGCCACTGTGCCCATTCACCCCACGGAGGGGCTTCCCTCAATGCTCAAAGCACGGCACAAAATAAAGTGTGCGGCCTTTCTGAGCCCTGAGTGTGCTTCACAGTTCACATCACGAAGAGGCGCCCCAGCTCAGCTCCCCAGCTCAGCTCGCTTTGTCTTCAAAAACCAGCCAACTTTCCAAACATGTTGCTCTTAGTGGACCCCAACTCATAGTGGTTCTAACCTACCAACAACTAATCGGTACCCTGCCCTATCCGGTGCCATCCGCCTCATCTGATCGACATAAGCCCATTGTTAGTAAATGCTGAGTCAATCCACCTTGTCAAGGAGCTTCCGCTCTTGTGCTATCTTTCTCAGCTGTATGTCTTGTTCCAAGGATTAACCCCTCCTTACAACAGGCCCAAAGTAGGTGAGAGGAAGCTTCACCAGCCTTGCCTCTGGAGACATTACACTGTCTCCAAAATGTATCTCTTCATGCCTTTGGCAGTCCATGGGTATTCACTCCCCTCCAATCCCACAACTCAAAGGTATCCATTCTTCTGTCATCCTTATTCACTCTTATTGGCAGCGCTCAAGATGCAAAACAACTAGGTCTTATCTAAATGTGGGATTTAGCAGGAGGGCCCCAGTAAGTAAACTCTCTGTAACTTGCCGTTAGACAAGATCTAGCATTTTAGACACAAATTGCACCCTTGCAATACTCATGGTACTTAATCACAGCTGCTGGGGGTAGGGGGAGCGTCCCACTTCCAATGAGAGCGCAGCAGGCCAGCAGCCTACAAAGACGACTGTGATGGCACCGGATACGACAGGGTTCAGGGCTGCTGTTCATTGCCGTGATGCGTACTTGACTAACAGAGCACATTGACAAGCGTTACCTGCAGCTGACCCTCAGCGTACAGGGGGAAAAGATCAATACAGCTCTTTCCTTAGAGCTGCTGCCTAAAACCGCAGGACCAGAGGATAAACAATGATTCGAGATCTCTAGCAACACCCAATACCAAGATTTTTTTTGGCTATAATATGGCCTGATCAGATCAATGATAAGCGGAACTTGGGATTTTTCTGGTGATACATTCAGTGAATGAAATCCGCCCTGCCTGACCAGTCATGGTAGCTTTCTATGTGTCCACTACCTGGTCTCCTTAAATCCTGGAATTACAAATCCCTGTGGTTAAACAGCAGAGGAAATTCCCCAAGATCTAAGTCACTCTGGCTTAGGGATAAACTACTGAGAAGGGTATTTACCAACTGCCTACTTACAGGCTGGCATTTCGGAAACATTCCAGGCAAAGAAATTCTCCCCAACACTGTTCATTTTATAGCTGAAAATCAAAGTTCTAAAGTAAAGTGACCTTGACCACCAATCACAAAGTTGTTGAACACCATGAGCTATTGGAGATGTAAATCAAGACCCACGGAGATAGGCCATCTCCCTCCCACACGAGAATGGAGATGATTAAAAAATGCCAACAAAACCACAGAAAATGAATGACAAACGATAAAGGGAAAATGGAACCCTCCTCCATCCTGGGGGGAATGTGAAACGACAGCCACTGTGGAAGGGGAAGAGTCAGTTTACCACATCACTTCTTCCATCGTATGAAGTTAAAAGTTCAGTTATTATCAAAGCCCAGTCGGCTTTTTACCCCTGAGCTTTTCCTGGAAGCTGCTGGAATGCCCTTTACTAAGCGATTTATGAAGGCAAAGGAAATAACCAATTCTCAACCAATCAACGCCACCGTGACTGAGGCCCCGTAAAACCTGCTTCCTGGGGAGCAGAGGGGACATTCGCCAGTGGCAGCAGCTGAGGGAGGAGCTCTGTCTTGGACGCCCACCCAGGAACCAGCCCACCCCGAAAGGTGGCCTACCTCAATCACGGCAACAGAGGCTAAGACAGCCCCTCAGCAACCCTGAAAGAAAGGCTGTGACCTTCACAGAAACAGACCACCACTTCCTTTTCTCCACGTGAGTGGACCCTCGCTGAGCGCTTCATCACTCCACTACTGTTGACTGGACTTAAGAGGACTCAGAGTGACCCTATGGACAAAAGACCTGAAGCCTTTGTTTAACTATTGCCGTTTCTCAAAGTTCATAAGAGTTTCCAGAGGCTTGCTGTTTAGAAAGCGGTTGCCACTCCTGCTCCCAAATCACCCCATTACATACTCTGCACCCCCAGATTTCTCTCCGCACATCTGCAAACAGCCCGTACCTTATCTGCATCGCCTGAACACGGAGGCCGCTGTAATCAACCTCTTTCTGCTCAAACTCCTTCCACTCATCATCTTCCTGTTAAAAAACAAACCAACCAAAAACCAGCTGGTGAATAAAAGATCCTTAGAAACCTACAACTATGGCAAAGCTCACAAGGGGCTCCAGTGGTTAAGGAGCTGCGCTGCCAACTAGAAGGTATGAGGTTCGAATCCACCAGCTGCTCTGTGGGCAGCACTCCCCTCCCCGGGCCTGATTTACTGCCTCCCCCGTGTCAAAACCCGCTGGAGGGTCAGCTCTGGGTGGGTTCCCACTGGAGGGTAGTGAACAATGCATTTAGCAGGCTAAGTGTTCACAAGGGACCTTAGAGAAGGGTGAGCCGCAGCCACACACATACTGTCATTCCCATCTGGTTCCTTCAGATTTGAGGCTTTCACCAAGCAAAGCCCAGAGCGACTGGATTTGCACCCTAAGTGGAGCCAGCAAGAGTCTGAAAAGTCTTTTCTATTAGGGACCCACGGGCTCCATGTGCGATGCTGCGGGGATGATGGCACAGGCCGGGCCGGGGCCCCGATCTGCTGTCCTCGGGGTCACGAGGAGCCGCAAAAATGTCAGCAATGTGACTCGTGCTCCAGCCGGCCGGCGGCAGCCACAACCCCCCGATCCCCCAAAGAGACGTCTCTCGGGACAGGGGACCCCCGTCGGGCTGCGATCAGGGGGTCCCCC